CCGAGCTTGCGCCGAGCTTGCGCCGAGCTTGCGCCGAGCTTGCGCCTTAAAAGATGGAAAGAATAAAGGTGGAGATCCCTAAAAAAAGGTGGGCTGGTTTTTTTGGGGCGAAGCCCACTCACCTTTTGCAGTAATAAGTAGTGATTTAACGGTAAATAATCGATATCTTGGCGTTAATTATACATGAAGGAAAGATGAAGAAATAGTCTGAGCCACTTTGTGAAAAGTGGAAATAATAATAATATTATGATAACAAATTGAACAGGCTAATTTGCGCAAGAGTGTGCAGAATGAGTGCGCGGTTTGGCACCTCGATGTCGGCTTAACTTATCCTCATGGATGCAGAAACTATGTAGGGTACGACTGTTCGTCGATTAAAAAGTTACATGAGCTGGGTTAAATACGTCGTGAGACAGTATGGTTTCTATCTTCTAGAGGGAATTAGAATATAATAAGGAATAACCTATGTACGAAAGGAACTTGGCAGGCGCCTCGGGCGCCTTTAAATAACATAATTATAAATCTCTGGTTTACCTATTGTTTAGGTGTTTAAAATAGTAAATATTATTACCTCTATAGCCAAAAGAGGGTTAATACTTATTTAGGTTGAACTATCCTACTTTCACTTAAGTAGTTATATAGCCTAGGCACGGTAGGGAAGCTATGTTTGTCAAAGATAAGTGCTGAAGGCATATAGGCGCGAAGCTTACCTTAAGATATTTCTTAAATATACGTAATACAATATTACGAACATAATATTTGCAATATTTATAATGGTTGTTATAATTATGAATATTATGGAGATAGGCTTTGTTTGTAAGAGTCTAGAGATTTTAAGGAATAAAGTACTAATTTTATAAATAACTGAATATTTTATTTATATCTTACATTTTTTGCCTGGTTAGCATATACCTTAAAATATGAGGTCGAGCTTGTGCCCACCTTAACTTCTTTGATTTAAAGGTCTACAACTAAAACCTTTAAGCAAGATAGTACATACTATCCGAAAAAAAAAAAGTATTTTTGAATGTAAATCAGGTTAAGTTACATGATCTTAATATGAATGGTTACATCTGTGTTTTAAGCTATTCAATAAGGCACATAATATTGGTTCGAGTCCAGTAGATCATACCTAGCCTGCTTAAAAAAAAAATGATTTTGCTTTTTATTTTTTTTTAACGACGGAGGATTGAATAAATATTATTGTAAAATAAAGGCCTCCTTCGGTGTTTTCTTACTTGACCCTCTGGGGGCGAAGCTACTCATTCAAGATATTTATTACATAAATATACCTTGAATGAAGGCAAGTTACAGGGTCAAGAAAACTAGTCTATAAGAATATAATTTACTTCTTATTTTAGCGAAAGTTTGTATAGGATTAGTTACGCTCCGCTAGTGAAATGTTTCAGTCTTATTCTAACTTAAGCCTGGTTAGCATAAATAGTAATGCAATTGTTTTGTAATCAATAGAAGGGGGGGCAGTACCCCTACTGGGCTCCAACCTTGTTTCCAGTATTCTAATTTCTCTATCCATATGTACACGGGAGGGGGGCTCTGTACATATAATTAATAAATTGGAAAGACGTGCAAGTCGTCTGCAAGGTTACAGGATTAGTGGTCAAGTGGTACGACATGACTCTTTCAATGTCACTATCGCGGGTTCGAATCCCGTCTAATCTATTCTCTTGAAGTACTCGGTCAGTACTTCAAGAGACCTTTATTCTTTTGGTAAATTTGTAGTAGCTTTCTTACCCTAATCACGATGTTTTAGTTAATAGAGTGATTTGGCAATTTAATCTCTACTCTCCTCTAGGATTGATAAGATAATAGAAAGAGACTTTATAAATAGGAAGTTATATGGTTTGGTATGTAGAGCTGAAAAGTAATTGATTGGATATTAGTGTAGATTTTAAGTATTAAACTACAGTGGCTATGAAGGCCCAAAATAGAACAACCTGTTGACATAAATGGATATGTGTAAAAGGAAACGTTGGACGCAGGAGGTATTTGGATTGGGACGTTACGAACCAGGCACATAAGTTAAGGCCATCTTAAGGTATAAAGATAATTTGCCATTCGATGAGACGACAGCATCCGCCGTAGAGGGTGGCACCCTAGAGTGAATAGAAAACATGCGCCAACAATTAGGAAACCTTGTTTATGAGTAGGACATTCTCAACCAGTAGTAAAAGACCATGACCCGTAGGGAGGAAGTGGAGATTGATATGGAGATTGAAACTAATGAAAGGTTAATTAAAGTAAGTACAAACTCGGTTTATGTATTTTTTTTATACCCCGCGTTGCACCCATGTCTTACCATTTTACTCCTAATCCTATTGCTTGGTTAAATCGTATAATTGTATAACACAACTCAGGGTTCAGCTCGCGAATAGGGGTAAAAAAATAAGGCGACGCCTTATTTTTTTTTCGGGAACGAGGGGAACGGTTATTGTTTTTATTTATTCATTCATTCATTCCTCTAGAATTATTAGTAATGGTGCTGATGATGTTATGTGTGATGATAATATATGATTTTTTTTTTATATTAATAAGGTTGATTATTTAGTAAATAAATCATTAAAATATTATCTTGAGTTTAATCTAATCTATTATTTATGCGGATTAGTGTAATAGTAACATATTTGACTCATGATCAAATGATAAGGGTGCAAGTCCTTTGTCCGCATACAGGAAAGTTAGGGAAGCGATAGATTTTTTTCATGAAGAGATATCATCGTCTAAGTGTAATTCACTTTCTGGCTCTAATGACTATAAGTAAACTTGATATACTTAGTAATCCTACTGTCATATGCGCCTTGAAGTTCTTTAATGGATAATTTTAGATTAGGATCGCTTTTAAGAGGCTATAACTTAATTGGTAAAGTGAGCTGCTCATGACAGCTTTTATAAGTGTTCAAGTCACTTTAGCCTTAATCTTTCATTGTTAAAGAATAGAGTCTAAATTATTTAAAAATAAATGAAAATAAATAATTAGTTAAATAACTAGATAATTTTAAAAGCTATAGCCAAGTTAAATAATAAGAATCTAAGGTAATAATGATTGAAAATCTTAAACTCATATTGGACGTACGTTATAAGACTTAATTTTGTAATGACTCAAAGCAAGCAGCATGCTTCATTGAATTATGGAAGACTATTTGTTTAGAATATTCGTGATTACACATACAAGTTAAGCACGTAAGATAGGGGGGGGGGAGCTGGGGCTTAAAAAAATTAAGGTTTCACCTTATTTTTTTTTTACACCGCCCAGCTCCTTCGGTGTTTTCTTTCTTGACCCTCTAAAAAGATTACAGGGTCAAGAAAAGAAAACTAGTTTTATTAATTTATTAAAATCTTATATGCTTCGCCGGGTATATGATTCAAAGGATACTTCATTAGACACTAATGATCATGATGGTTAGGATAATTCTGACGATTCTAATGATTCTGATGAAACGGTTAGACCTGAACATTTTCGCAATACACCTGGACCTAACAATTCAGATAATAATGCCAATAATAAGATAGTAATAGTAATAATAATAAAATAATAATGAAATATACAAATCCGAGTGCTGGAATAGGTAGACAGTGCGCGTAACGAGGCAGGGGGTATGAGAACTTATAAAATATTGTATTAATTTTGTGGTTCTTCATAAGAAAAGTTTGATTGTTGTTTAAGGTGTTTGTTGTACACATATACTTTAGATAGTGTAAAGATTATTTATTGTAAATTTATAATGCTATAATTTAACCCAAGTGCTGGAATTAGGTAGACAGTGCAAGCTTAAGTTTTGTTGATGAGTAATCGTAGACGTTCAAGTCGTCTCTTGGGTAAGGATTCCAGGCGGAATCCTTAAACACAATCAAATTATAAATCCCCGTTTTCTCGCTCCTATCCGAAGGATAGTGTTTTCTCCTTTCTCTCCCGAGCTTGCGCCCCAAAGTGGGAGAGAAAGAGAGAAAACTAGATATTAAATAAATATATCAGACGATGGATTTTCAATATTATGCTTCGTTACTTAGTGTTGAACAAGTATTTATTTTTAGACGTAATTAAATATTTTGTATTTATAATATAGAGAAGTGGTGGGCGCTCCGCTCTAAAAATTACTCCCTACTAGTCTAATCATTACCTTTTTGTAATTAATAGGTTAAAGCTGTATGTTTTTAACTTTGAATAAATGTACAAATTTATTTACTTAATTAAATCAAAAAATGATAGTACTATTGTTGTTCCTTACTCTTCAGAGCTTGCGCGATCCCCTCCGGGGATAAGAAAAATTTGGTCTTTACAGCTTTATTAAGGCTGAACCGTTCTCGTTCTTATTATTCTAATGTTACTAATAAAGACCATATACCCGTTGTTCCAGTTCGTTCCTATTTAAACGCAGGAGCTTGCGCGATCCCCTCCGGGGATAAGATAAATTAACTATTTTTAAAGATAATAAAGGCGAAGTTGGTATATATAGATGAGTTGATGTTCTCGTCCCCCTCCCACCGGTCCCCCTAGCTCGCGCACCTAGCCTGCTTAAAAAAAAAAAGAAAAAAAAAATAAAAACCAAATCTAAGTTTTAACGTATTTATTTATACGTTACTTAATATTTTATTTTTTTTTAAGCCGGGGGCTGGCCCTCCCGTGAGGGGAACGGTGAGTCTTATATAGGTTCATCTAAAAATCTTTCGACTAGATTTAGACAATATTTTATCTTTAGATTTGAGTTTTATTTATTTTTGTGCGCGAGCTAGGTAAGCTATGTTTATAGTAAATCATGGATAAAGGAATGTTATTATAATTTAGGATTCGTCAAACCAATCCGCTAAAAATCTAAGGGGGCTAGTCTTAGATACTACTTAACTAAATCAATTCTAGGTGTAATAAAGTTAATGAATAAAGATTGTTTAATTCTAATTCTTACATAACAAACCAAAGCTTGGTGGGTTAGGTTATAATTATAAATTAAATAATAGATTTAATATAATTTGTGATTAGGGTGGGGGGGGGTATAGTTTAGTATGGTAAAACTGCAACTTTGCAAGTTGTTGTCTCAGGTTCGAATCCTGATATCTCCATAGAAATAGTATATTTTACTATATCTTTAGTTCAAGTTAAAATCTCGGTTTTCTATAAGCTTAAGAAGCTCAATTGGTTGAGCAGAGGACTGAAGCTTCTTTGGTTGTAGGTTCGAGTCCTACCTTAAGCAATAGGTATGTTGGAATTGGTAGACAAGTTCCACTTAGGATGGAAAGGATAAAACCGTACAAGTTCAAGTCTTGTTACCTATAGTATATATCTCGTGGACTAATGGGTAAGAATGGGGTATATATTGTTATTATTCGAGAGAGGGGCCCACGCACTTAAGCCAAAGAATAGGCCAGCTAGGGGCGAAAAAAAAATAAGGCCTAGCCTTATTTTTTTTTACCCTTCGGACCCTGAGAGGGGAGCGGGGTAGCCGAAATATCCTTTATTATAAGTCTGGTCAGGAACTACATCAGGCTTCTTGGAGTTCCTACCTGAACCAGGGGTGAGCACGTGTTTAAAGGAGGGGCGTGAAAAGTATCCCAAGCCTGGAGGTTGAAGGTCCTATTCTTAAGGTAAAAGAAAGCATAATGTGATAAAAAGAATAAAAAACGATTTAACCAAAACAATTTTTACGTAGCGTATTTTAATTTTTATGAAGCAGATTTTGGTCGAGGTAGTCGCAGACCTGTTGGCTTTTTGGCTTTTAACGTTCCAGCAATTAAGAGGTTTTATTTTACGAACGAAAGCTCGAAGGGGCGAAAAAAAAATAAGGTAAAGCCTTATTTTTTTTTACCCTTCTAGCCTGCGGTTCCTAGCCTGCGTACAAAAAAAGAAATAAAAATAAAATCTTAAATAATCTATAAATGATAAATAAATTATATTTAGTAAAAAAAATAAAAAAAATGAAGAGCTTGCTTATCCGTAGGATTACTAAAGATGGAAAAGAAAACTATAGAAAATTTAAGATTTTATTTTTTTTACCGGCTACAGTTTTTTTCGTCTGCTCCGGCTTCGCTGCCCAGTTCGCTCCGCGAACGAAGGATTGAATAAATACTATCATAAAATATACAAAAATAAAAATAAAGGGAGGTATTCATGAATTTACTAATCTAGTGCCTGGTTTGATCCTGGCTTCGCCAGGAACTAAGGGTTCCCATAGTACCTATAAATTACATCATATCCTTAGTGAACAGGAGTCTATAGATACGTGTGGTGCTTATTTAGGTGTATCACATCATACTGTTAGAAGTATATCCCATGAGGGTAAATCTATCAAGTTTAACTCAAGATTAGTGTATGTTAAACCAAAGTAGCTAACCTTGATTAATTATAAGTAGTTTGCGTTGCAACTAGCCTCTGATTTAACAGTCTAATTTTTTTCCTTTATAAATATGTATAATTTTTAACTCTAAATTTAACTACATAACAGGTTATATTCTTATCTCCTTCCTATATAAGAATATAACCAACATATCTCGTGGACTAATCGGGTAAGTCATAAATTTTTGGTATTTACTATTGGGTGTTCGAATCACCTCGAGATAATTAGTAAGGTAAGTATAACTCAATAGGTAGAGTGGCTGTATGTGGCTCAGTATGTTCTTGGTTCAAGTCCAGGTATTTACCCATATGATTATATATGATTTGCATTATATAATACATATCCTAGATAAATTAAAAATTAATAAAGCTAGTTTCGCTCCGTTGCCCAGTTCGCTCTACGAACGAATCCTTCGACCCAGGTCCGGGACCGTGGGTCTGGACCCAGGGGGGGGGAAATAAGAAACAAAATTTAAATATTAACTTCTTTGTGTTGTTTATATTATTTAATATTTTGGTTTTTATTTTTTTTCTTTTTTTTTAGATCTCCCTTATTCCTTTTTTTTCATCAGGGTAGTTTAATAGGTTAAAACCTTAATTTCATACATTAAAGATGAGAATTCGAGTTTCTCCCCTGGTTAGCCTTAAAGTGTTTAAGGCCAAGTTTTTTTTTATTATGATAAATTTATCTATATTATGTTTATTAATTTCGAATGCCGTTACTTTGAGACGAGATATGTCAATACTTTTTAATAGAATAGCCATTATTGCTTTGGTTTATTGTTTTTTACATGATGTTGTAAGTTTATCTCTTATAAACAAAGGGATAGGTTTACATGGAGGTTTACTACACGTAACAAATATAACTCAAATATTTCATATATTTGTTTTTATAGTTAGTATGTTTATATTACAATTAACAAGCTTTTTTCCTAGAAAAGTTTGAGTTAAAGAACATTCATCTTTAAAAGATCTATTGTTTAATAATTTTGTATATTATAGAACTAGAATTATTAATAAAATGGGAGAACATTTAAAGATTATAGAATACCCTAGCGGACAACCTGGGAAATTGTTAAAATTATGGGGCAAACTACCAAACTCCGGGGACCTCCTAAAGCTTTTGATACCAAATCTGGAAAAAATTTTCCGTGGTGGATGAACTAATTATTCATGTATGGTAAGAAGTCAAAAGATGGCTCTTCACTACGTGTGGTACTCGCTGAAGTGCGGTAATTATGAGTTGTATAACTCAAGGGCTGTCGAGGTACGATCTCGAAAAATGGACAATCGCGGATCTAAGTCAAATAAAGGTAGCGCTTTATTTGTAAAAGAGCAACGAGTAGATGGTAGTTACTTATTAAATATACAGAGATTTAATAATTTAAGGTATACTCTAAGAGGGTTCGAAAGAATTACCTGATCTGGAATCCCTTCTAATCAAATTCTAAATAAACAATTATATTCAACAACTAATGAATCCAAAAATCTTAAACCAAAATTATATAAGGATAAAGATAGTTTGAGTTTAAACCCTTGATTCATAACAGGTTTCACAGACGGGGATGGTTCATTTGCTGTTTCTATTACTAAGAAAAAATCCGGTACAGGCTGAAAAATAGTACCTATGTTTACTATAGGGTTAGATCAAAAAGATTTAGATCTTTTAGTACAAATTAAAGCTTTTTTTAAAATAGGTAATATCTATACTAGTAAAAGAGGGATAGTTTACTATACTGTGGGTTCTGTAAAAGATTTAAAAAAGTATATTCTACCTCATTTCGATAAATATCCTTTAGCTACACTTAAAATAAAAGATTATTTATTATTTAAGGAAATAGTTATTCTTATGGAAAAAGGGGAACATAATTCCTTACCTGGTTTATTAAAAATCTTTTCACTAAAAGCTATTTTAAATAAAGGGTTACCTAGTGTAGTAAAAACGGAATTTCCTGAAATTATCCCTGCTATTGCACCAGAATTTAAGATACCTTTTGACTTTAATCCTCATTGATTATCAGGATTTATAACTGCAGAAGGATCTTTCTTTATTTCTCTCTATGAAAATGATAAAAGAAAAGCAGGGTATGCAGTAAGTTTAGTTTTTTCTTTAAGTCAACACATTAAAGATTTAGAGTTACTAGAAAGGCTCGCTAAATATTTGGGATGCGGTATAATCAGGAAAGCCAATAATCGTGAAACAGCTGAATGAATTATCACTAAGTCTGATGATATTAACTTAAATTTAATTCCATTCTTAACAAAATATACACTTTCAGGGGTAAAAGTTTTAGATTTCGAGAGATTTAAAAAAGTGTCTTTTTTAATAGGTAGTAAAATGCACTTAACTTCAGAGGGGGTTACATTAATAAAAGCTATTAAAGATGCGATGTATAATAGGTAATTGTGTTGATAGATAGGTTAATTTAGAATTAGTAAAGATAAATCCAGTTTGCCTCGTTAATTTTATTATTTGTAGTTAGCGGTGCAATTTTTTTAATGTCTACTAATGATTTGGTTTCTATTTTTCTATCAATAGAATTACAAAGTTACGGTTTATACTTATTAAGTACAATATATAGGAATTCAGAATTGGCTACTACTGGTGGTTTAATTTATTTCCTATTAGGTGGTTTGAGTTCATGTTTTATTTTATTAGGTTGCAGTTTGTTATACGCTAATTCAGGTACTACTAATATGGATGGTTTATATATAATTACTAGTATAAGTGATAATATAGATTCTTGATATAAACCATATTACATCAACTTTGCTTTATTAATCTTTAGTATAGGATTTTTATTTAAAGTTTCAGCTGCACCTGAGGGGCAACAAGGGGAGTTGCTATTAATTAGGGTTAAATTACTAAATTCCAGGGACACCCTTAAGATTCTGGTACCAAGCATCAGTCGAAAGATTGATAGTGGATGTTTTAATCAAACATGTAAGGTCACAATTCAGAATATAATCGAAAGATTGATGGGCAATCGTGGATCTAAGTCAGTAGAGATGATCTTGCACTTCTTTATGCGGGGGAGATCTACTGTAAAAGAGCAACGAGTAAACAGTAATTATAAGAAAATTGAGCTTTTCTTATTAAGACGTACTCTAATGGGTTTCGGAAGAAACTATCCGATAAATACCCATTCTAAATTTATAAATAAATCAATTAAATCATATTCTACATCTGTTAGATTCACTGAAGATACTTTACATAATAAAGTAGAGGGAGCAGTAAAAAAAAAAAAAAGAAGGGGCTATCTTTTTTTTTTTTTTCGGCATGGCATGGTTTTTATGTGGACTTGTAGACGGTGAAGGTTGTTTTATGATTAGTATTACTAAAAGCGCTAAGAATAAATTAGGTTGATCTGTGAAATTAATATTTAAAATAGGTTTACATAAAAAAGAGCAAGCTTTATTAGAAAAGCTTGCGGAATTCCTGGGTGTAGGTAACATGGCTCCAAGTAGAGATTGTTTACACTACCGTGTAGAATCTATAAAGGAGATACCCACAGTAATAGAGTTTCTTGATAAATACACACTTATTACAAAAAAACATGCAGATTATCTTTTATTTAAGCAAGCAGTAAACTTAGTCCTAAATAAAGAGCATTTAACTAAGGAAGGACTTTTAAAAATTGATGCTATTAGAGGATTAATGAACAGAGGTCTACCTTCAAAATTAGTAGAAAGTGTTGACACTAAATTAGAAGTTACAACTGCTTCAGAG